AGACAAAATAAAACAGCATATGATGTACTGTACTATGCAAATACGCTATTGCTTCTTTGACTTTTTAATTAGTTATTTTTTCTAATTAACAATTACATAACTTTTATAATTGCTGAATAATTAAAATTAAAAATAAAATGTTTTATTAAATCAAAATAGTTTATCTTGTTATTAATCCAAAACCATAAATCTATGTGGCTTTGAAAAATAATAAAAAGCTATTATTTATTATTCATTAACAAATCCTGTATAATCCATGTACAAAAGTACATATTTATTACATTTATCTCTTAATAAATTTCTTGAACTTTATAGTTTTAAAATTAATCTGCACTACCATTAAAAGAAGTAAATATCTATAATAATTGTATGAACATTAAACAAAATAAAAAAAGAAAAAAATAAACAAAGTGATTACAATTTATAAAATCTGATTTTGAGTGATTTTAAAATACAATCTTAGAATGGAATAGAATAATAAGTCTTGTGTGTAGTAAGATTTGCTTATTAAATCTAAAATTGTAAAAAAATGTAAAAATTAAAATTAAATTTTGGGGGCTGACAGTAAATTTAAAAATGAACTGATTTGATATGGTTTGCAAAGTTTAAAGAACTGCTTACAAACTTATTCCTTAGTTATAGTATCAAAAAAATTGATAAATATACTTGTGCATCTTTACATTTCTATTATACACCCCCCACATATTAAGTCAACTTTTCACTGTAATAGTTTTAATATTCTTATTATCAACAGTGCATCTTTATTTAATTGTAAAAAAAAAAACTTCATACAATTTTTGAAAAACTGGAGTAACTACAGTACATATCTTTAACTACAAAATACCCTAATTACATGCATTAACCTAGTGTTTCTCCAACTTCTCCTTCTGGTAGACCTGTTTAATAAATTTTAATATGCCCTTTACCCAATTTGCATAATTTGCTGTCAATATATTTGCCTAGAACCACAGGGATCTGTGGACCACACATTGCTGAGAAATCTGCTATCTGAATTATTTCAACCACTTGGACACACTATGCAAAAATTTTCAGTGTTTTCAGATGATGCTTTCAATGATGTCAAATAAAGAAAGCAGTTAAGTATTTCAGAATGGATAGACTTATAAAAGAAGGCAATGCAACACCTGGAAATCTTGCAAGGACGGATGCCTCTCAGGAAGACTTTCTACAGGAAACTGACTCTACTTAGCTGTTAGATTTGTGAAGAAAACCTGAAAAACTTCATGTAACCAGCCCATTGGTGAGATGCAAACCTACAACTAACTACCAGTGTTTTATCTACTAAGATATTGATGGGGCTAAGCACATAAGGAAGCCAGGGGCCATATTCTGGTCACTTATCTCTTGTCTCTTCTTTCAATGATGAATGATGTCAAAACGAGAGACTAATTTTCTCTCTTGGAAACAGTGGTGATTCTGGTCACTTTTAACGATCTCGTCTTCGTTGATGACGTCACGATACTACTAGGTTTATTATACATGTTCGGGTTATCTGTGCGTGCAACATGGTATAGAATTTTAACCAATAAAACTGTAAAATTTTCAAAAATGCAGAGTACCTAATCATAGATCATGTGGCAAGGAAAGCACATGTTCAAATAAAGCATGTAATTTCGACAAAGTCATGTTCTTTGTTTTATAACATTTTTACAGATTGTAATGTCAATTTGTCTCTTAACAAATAAAAATTTTAATAATCTAAGTTAGAAAAGCGTGCGTACTTAGATATTTTTCAAAATATTACCATCTAATTTCTCCTTAACTATCTAAGAAAGACTAACATCATACTCAATACAGTAGAACCTCGATTATCTGCCCTAATTGGGGACTGGGGTTGGTCGGATAATTGAAAAGTCGGATAACCGAAAAGTATGAAAAAATCCATTATTAGTGTAGTATATTATTATATCCCATGTAATTAGTATATTAGTATATCGCTATTAACCTATTTTGCGTTGAATTTTCATCGATGTTAAGCCTAACAAAAATTTTTTAAAATAATAATCGTCGCTATTGTA